ACCTTGGACCGTTCCTATCGCAAGCGGCACAGAGTTGAAATTAAATCTTAAATCTTAAATGTCAAGCATGACGCGCTCCCGACCCTGTACGTGGACAAACAATATAAATATATATAATATAAATATAATAAACGATAGGTATACATTTTTCAAATAGCAATAATTATATTTGTGAAAAAAAATCTGATATAAAGCTAGCGTCTCTGCCACTCGACCCAAGCAAAATAAACGGCACGATAAGAGGCGACTTGCGCGAGAGCGACATAAAGTGCGAGATCTCTATGCGAGAATAGCAGTATTACGTGCTAGCCCTACTGAGGTTGTATCGAGTCTGTTTAATTCCTTAGTTGGAAACCAAATAATTGATGTGGTTGTCTGACACGTTGTTATTATTGGATTTTCGCCATTGCTACGCATTGAAACTGAAACTATTTTTTTTTCGGATCTAAGTATATTTGTTTTTCAAAGATTCCAACGTTTTGGGCTCTTTGCGGGTCCCAAAGCCATGACCATATTTGAAAGTTTAATTTCCAATCTCAAAATATGTTTTTTATTAACGGTTTTGTGCCCCTCGCATCCAACATCCTCTCGCAAATTTGATAAGGTCATCGGTCCACTTAGTGTCCTATTTTTGGCTGCCACTCGAAAACTTTAAGATCTCATCGTATGTGAGTTGTACGCAATGTATACCCACTGCCACTTCTATGAAATGTCAAAGAACTCTTGTGTTTTCGCGGAATCTGTAATTAGATAAAAAAAATTGATTAATTAAAAGTTTACGCATTATTTAACACATAGTTTTAATTTTTAAGTTTATTGGACGTCACGATGTTCGACCACCATGATCTTCAATTATTTTTGTGAAATTGTTATAATTATTAATACAAAGATCGAACACTTAAAAAAAATTCCTTTGATCTGGCTGAATGCGAACCAACGTCTTCCAGCAAATCGTGTCAGATGCCATGCCAACTTAACCCGGAACGAACAAACGGACCTCTCAAATTTTTCTATGTGCTTGTCCATCTGTGAGAATATATAGTTTTTCGACACTAAAAATTAATATAAAAAACACTGAAATATGTGGGACATTTTAAAAAGAGGTAATGAGAGAATGACTCATTGATATACTTCACCTTTGTGGGTTTAGGATCAAACAAGCTATAGAAAGAGAACTACCAAGTATGTGCAAAAACGGAGGTTGCTTCTCGATTGGGAAGTTGACGGTTCGAAATACCGTAGCGGCATCTATGAGGGGAGGCTGAATAGTAATCTCTTGACAAATTCTAATTCAAAAATAATACTGGCCAATATCGTGACGTTGTTTATTCTTTTTGCAAAATTAGTGACACCCTTTTGTTATTAAGTACGTTTCGCTTGACACGGACAAAATGGCGGAAGAAAAAGCGAACTGTTTAAAAATTATCAACAATTTTTTTTAACAACTGACTTTAATGTCCCTTTCTAACAAATATAATAAATAGGTGAATTTTCCTAGCTTAGTTTACAACTTAAGCTTCTACTTAGTTTAGATACCAGTTTTATTGTCTATTTTAGTTTGGTTCATGTTCAGTTGCTATGTTTGTGGAGAGATGAATACATTGTTGTTATTATTATATTGGCAGGGATTTCAGTCTTAAGAATTTACAGATAGGAAGTACTTTAAAAAAATTTTGTCTGCAGACATACGCCGCTGATATTTTCTTTGCTCAAACCTGGAAGGACTTTCGGCTAAGGCTGCCTGAAAACATGACTTCAGAGTATCGGTAAGTGGAACAACGGGTATGATTCTTTAATACTGAACCAGTCTTCACCAAAAACATATTATCCTATTACGAAATTTCCGCATCTAAGCTGACGGAAAAACAAAAGTGTAATAAGTATCAGAACCTCGGTTCTGACTACTTATTTGCACCCTTTGGAGTCAAAATCCTTGGCCTGTGGGATCCCGACGCCCTTCCTCGTTACAAAATTTTATAAAAATATTAATATACTGCCTGGGAAACCCAAGAGCCGGCTTACATTGCCCAACGTATTGGCATAGCTATACAAAGTGGCATCGCTTCCAGCATATTGAGCACCTTGCCGCGGGGACCCAATTTTATTCATATACATACCTAATTTAATCCTAATTTTAATTTCTAGTATTTAAGATATTATTGTATTTAGGAAACGAAACTATTTTTTCGAATCTATATGTTTGTTTTTTCAAACAAACTTCTTACAAACTTCAAAATGTTTCTGGTTTACACGTCCCAATGGTCACGGTGTATTTTGATACCGTACCTGTCTAAACAGATAAATGAATTATTACGAAATTTATGAATATTTCCGTAAAATATCAAACTTAATTAAAAGCTTCAATAAAGGATAATTAATGGTGTTTAGCATTAATGGCTTCTTAATTTGGCCATCTACTCGTACGTATTAACGTAAAATTGAATCGCAAATGAAACTGTTGAACCAAAAAATTGGATACTTTGGTATCTTTATCGATAAAAGGGGCTAATACCTGGACTAGGGCTGTATTAAATGAATAAAACTGGGTCAGACAGATGGTAATACCATTGCTATAGAAAGACCATAGTATACCTAATAAGATCAAGTACTTAGGCCATACTGAAAGTTTCTGGATTTACACAACATTTAAATTCCTCGGAATAATAAAACCCCGCGGCCGCGAAGACCAATGAGAAGACAGTCTCGCCCGCGCGCCCGAGACGCTCATTTAAGTTAAAACGTAAAAGCTAAGTAAATAGAGCGTATTTTGGCATGACAGTTAGATGCACGCGGTCGCTGCGCGGCGGATTTGAAATTCATATCGATTAAATGCAGTTTTGAAAACGACGCCACATTGAAAAAACAAATGACCGTCTCATAAAGTAAAAAGTAAGCAACTCACAAAAAGTTCCTGTTTCAAGTTTCGTATTTGTTTTTTTAGTTTCTTTTACAAGTCGCCAGTTTCAGGAAATTTCAGTATTCCCCGCGTATTACTGTATACAAAATATAGTAAAAATATTCCGACAAAATAAATATGAATTTCTTAAAATGTAAATATTTTCCAGGACCCAACACTAATATGAACGTTTGAAGGCTTAGAATAATAACGCATAGAAACCTAGTCCGCACACGCTAAGTAAGGCAAATTGAAGCGCGCCCAATGGGCCTACACGAGGGGGCGGGCCTTCAGTGCTCAAGGTCAACTTACACTGCGAACAGATCAAGAATTTTAGCTAAAAATGACGAAATGTGCGGTAAATGTGTGTAAAAATACGTCAGACAAACATAAAATAGATACTAACATCACATTCCACAAGGAAGTAACGCGTTTCAACTTGTATTTTTATATAAATATTCACTAAAACCGAAAATTAACCTACTACTAAAACTAGCCTACATGAATTTGATTTTTGCCTCACTTGTGACAGTTCGTTTGATATGAAACTATCATTCTATGCGTTATTATTCTAAGTTTGAAGGTATGTTTTGACTCACGTCAGTAATTTAGCGTTGACTATTATTACAACCGCCACAAAATCCTTAACCCAAAACAGTGATAATATAAGGTTAGCAATTGTATTGGAATGACAGCTGTCAAACGCAACATTGAGATTCCCGCTAGGGGTAATCAAAATACAATTTTATGATTAGTTGTCAAGACTGTAAGATAACATCAAAAACATTACACGCTTTTTTCTTTGGGCAGTAATGTAAAAATAAAAATGACCAATCATTGTTTGAAGACACAAATGTTTAAAGATTTAAAGTACAGCGTTTAAAACAACGTATTTCAACGCGAGCCTAAGTTATACGAAGTGAGGTGTGAGGGACCGTCCTTCGCGTTCCACAACTCGCTGAAAATGAATATGAACAAAATAAGAACAAGCGGAGAACATTTGACACAGATCCGACAGCGACAAGCGCCCGATGGCCACTGACGGGGCAGCTAGCGTGTTATAAAACCGCAGGGCAATTTCAAATTATGGGATAAATGTGATTTTAATAACTATAGGGCTTCAGTTGAAAACCAAAATTTAGCAGATTATCTGTAGTATTTAAAGAGATAATATCTCCATATACAAAATTTTGTGCAAAGTTAGATATTATATTACACGCAAAATAGGCGCCTTGACGTCGAGTTGCGGACACCAGTTACACCGTTACACCAAGTACCAAGTATATATAATAAATAACGCACACACTCAACATAGCCCCGCACTAGGGAAACCCTGTGTCGCGGGTGCCATGGACACACACATAGACAACCAGAAATTACACCCAAACTCACGAGAGAAATAAATGTAAGCCATACAAACATTTCTCCCGGCCCGGGAATCTAACCTGGGACCTCTGCGTGGCAGTCCGGCATGGTAACCGTTCGGCCACAGAGGCAGTTATATATAAATAAAAGGCAGTTAAAGTGTATGTACCTATATATTTATAAGTAATTTGTTTGGATTTTTATTTTAACCTGTTTTCAGGATATATTTATTATCGGGTAAAGTACATCCTATCGTGTAGCACATTCTTTAGACAGCCTTAAGTGTATCGTATATTTTTTGTAAGACAGTTATTTAATAGAAAGTACCTAAACAATTTATTCTAGCAAAACATCCGCTTCTTCTCCGGGGAGTCGCCTTAACTTGTCACGATCGAGCTAAAGGACAATGGCAAACTCCCATATACATTTTTGTTGACATAATTTGTATGCGTCTGTTTATGAAAAATATGTGAAAATATGGAGTTGTTATTCCTGAACAAATTTTGTTTTGGGTTTACTATTCTGATAAGTCAGGAATTCAAGATATTCCGGCTTAAATTTTTGGAGGTTATGTGTTACGTAATTGAATAAAATATATTCGGTGTATTATTATATCAAAATAAACCACAGAAGCCTTAAACAGAGGTAATAGAAGCTGAATGGTGCCATGGGTTTGTGACGTGACGAAAGTTCTGAGGAAATTATTCTGTGTACTGGTAAGGTCAAAAGGCGTGAAGTTAAGCCATAACAAAAAAACTGAGTTAATTAATAACATACCACAGACGATTGCACTAGTAACTCGGACAAATATTTTTTTTGTGAAACGTGCCATCTATCCCTAATTTTGGGAACTTTTTGTCAGTTTTACCATTTTCTCGCGTGGCATTTTGGAGAAGAAATTATCGATTTTATTTTTTGTAATGAAGTAGTTAATCTTTTATTAGCTTATTACAAATCGGTCGAATCAGTACATTTGATGTTACGTGAACTAAATGTGGACCAGATCCATATGTAGGTACTGAAATTCGTTTTTTGGCGGCTAGATGTCGCTCAACGTTAAAACTAAGAACATACTAATTAGTCATTAGACTTTCTTTTAAATATGATATTATTTCCAGACTTAGATAGGCCGCTATTATAATTTGAAAAACCTAATGAATTTATTTTATTCAAACTTGTAATTAAGACATTTGAAGACACTAACGAATTCTTTTAACTATGATTTTGCCATTGTTCTTTCAATCGAATACCGTAAGTCAGATTTTGTCCCTAGACTAATAGCAAGTATCTTCCAGGCTCCTGGATTTGGACTGGCTCAAACACATGTGGCGTCCCGACTCGTTCTTCAAGAACGCAAAGTCCGTGACCTTCCAAACGATGACCATCCCCAACCATTACGTGTGGCTGTACAAGGATAAGACCATTTTGTACATGGTCAAGTTGACATTGAGGCTTTCTTGTGCGATGAACTTCTTGATCTACCCTCACGACACTCAGGAGTGCAAACTGCAGATGGAAAGCTGTAAGTACTTCTACATTGCTTTATTCCTGAATATTAAATTGATTATATCTAAACTACACAACCATTGACTTACAAATAAATGGACGACGGGTCTAATACAAAAACCACGAAAAAAATGTCCCAAGTCAACCTATTTAAACGTAGTGACATGTAAAGGAATATGAAAAAGCTAAAACGTTGAATTCAAATTGTAATGTCATCGCAGTACTGTCTAATTTTGTTTGCTTCGCTGTCAGAAGAAACAAACGAAGACTAAAGCGTGAATGACGCTCTGTATACGATTTTAACGCCCTATAAGTTTGGACACTTTTTAGCGCGGACCCGACGTCCATATAATTCTAATTCAATGTACACAACTTACTATTCAATATTATTATTTTTTAACTGACCGGTAATAGACCAGGAGAGAACGATTGCTATTAAGCGGCATGTACAATCGGTGCCCAATCGATGTCATTTTATTTATCATTCGACGACTGTCGCGTCTAGTCACAGCCACGACAGACGGTCTTGATATGGGTACAGTCCCATATCACGACTATCAATCGTGACTGTGTCGTGAACGTTTATTCTATCGTTGAACGACTGCCGTGTCTACCTCTTCCCGCTAGATCGTGATGACAATTTATCGGTTCACGGCAGCCGCTTTGTCGTGAGGACGACATGATCGTTTGAATTTTTATTGTTACACGACTGTCGTTCTAGCTCTTCCCATTGTCACGGCAGTCAGTCGTCGTAACGTCAAAAAAAGTCGTGAACGACTGTCGTGTTGTATATACCATATGTGAACAACTTCATTTAAATATACAAGCCACGTTTTTTAAACTGCACGACTATCTGTCGTCACTACATAATGGGTACGCGTTCTTATGTATCCACCATTTATTGTAGCATGTAGTACAAATAGCGGGTACTTTAATGATGGCACCGACTGTACCTATGACTTTAATGTCTATGTTCGCAAACACTGTTTTAGAAGGACATCTCACTTCTGTATCGATCAATAGTGTCAATGACAGGATTTTGTACGTTGGATATTCTGCTAAAAGTTAAGTTAGAGAAATGACTTCATTGGCTAACCGTCGAGTTTTATTAATTCAACTGCGATTGCAATTTTTTTCAATGGCGTATCGATGACACGTCATTGGCATAGTCTACAAATATTATATTTATTTAATTTGAAGACTAAATTGCTTATTAAATAACACTTTATTCACTAGTATGAAACAAATACAGATTGAATACAAGAGGAATAATCTCTGTACAGAGTATTAAAAAAACCGCCCTCATAAGTCATTAAACCCCTAGTTTGCCACCCTAAGAGGTGGAATATTTTGTTAAAATTTTGATGGAAGCTTTACTGAGGTGCCCTCTTTCCAACAAAAACGAATCATCAAAATCGTTTCACAAATTATCGTGTAACATATACAAAAAAAATACAGCCGACGTCGAGTTCGTCCCGTCACTTGGTTATTATAAAAAGAATTATAATGACGAGTGGTTTCAAGAAAATTATAATGCACCGCACAGTGTACAGATATCCAGTATCACACTGCGTGAGTGAATGCAATATATTTTTCATCCGACCATCGCTGATTTATTTAAATCTATAACTTCAAAGTCAACTCTCGAGTCCCTGCGAATTACTTCACGCCACTTTTTTGAGCGCGAAACATGAGTATCATAATTAGAACTAGTGTTCTGATAAAATCACTGTTACTTTTGATGTCAAGTTCTATCTACAGGAATATTAAGATAAATAGAGTATCTTTTAAAAGAAATTTCCATGCGCCTGTATTTTTATCAACATCCTTACCCTTTTATACCGGATCAAAGTAATGCTCACGTTACTGCTTGCTGGCAAAAATTAGTAAATTCAAATTCAAATTCAAATTCAAAATAATCTTTATTTCATAGGTAAGCATTATTACACTTGAAATCGTCACAATATTAAACTCTACCGCTCATTCGTAAGGCAGATTCCCCTGAGAAGAATGAGCAAGAAACTCTAGGGGTTGCTCTTTGTAAATAACATTTACAATTATTTTTTTTATTTGAAACATCAGAGATCGAGACTACCTCCATGAGCTAAACGAAGTCAGAAGTTGTATAATAACCTTTAGTATAAAGTTTTTGTTTCACTATAGTTTTAAACCTTATGGAAGGCAAATTTTGTATATCAACCGGAATCTTGTTATAGAAGCGTATACATTGACACCCCTTAAATGATTTTTTGACTTTGTGAAGACGACTATCAAGAAAAGCTAGTTTATTTTTATTCCTCGTATTAATGTTATGTCTGTCACTATTTTTCATAAAGAAATTACTATTCCTTTTAACATAAATTATATTTTCATAAATGTATTGTGAGGCTAGTGTAAGAATGTTAATTTCCTTAAACTTGTCTCTCAAAGATACTTTGGGGCCCAGATTGTAAATTGCCCTAACTGCACGTTTCTGCAGGACAAAGATTCTATTGATATCGGCGGCATTACCCCAAAGCAAAATGCCGTATGTCATTAGACTGTGAAAGTAGCTGAAGTAAACCAATCTAGCGGTTTCGACGTCTGAAAGTTTCCTTATTTTTTTAATCGCGTACACTGCAGAGCTGAGCCGTTTTGACAACTTACTTAT